GTACCCAACCGTCCCTCTATAACACCTTACATAGCTATATTTCAATATTAAATAAAATAAATAACTATCCAATAAACACTATTTAGGTTTATACAACAAAACATAAAAACACTACGGTCCGATTGGATTGGGTTTACACGTTTTAAAGGTGATAAGCCGAACACGACTGTCGGACGATAGTGCAACCGCCACAAATCGCAAGAACTATTATAACATCAGCAATATTATGTATTATTTCCATGTGTATCTTATATATCATATGAGATAATTCATTTTTATTTTTTTATTTACTTTGTGATAAATACAAATTTTATATTTTTTCAACTATATTTAATACATCCTTATTGATTAAGAATAAGACACTCAATTTTTTGGATATAATAAAGAATTTTTAATTATCATGAAGAAATAATATTATTATTGTAATATTTATTTAATTAAATAATATTTCCTTTTACGAAAAGACCTCAAAAATAGAAATAATACATAAAAATATTATTAAAAAACAAAGTTATATTAAGGGCCTCCTTTAAATATATTTTTTGTAAGGTATAACAGAGTAAGATGACAAATACAGTATTTATCAAAATCAATCAGTTTAGGCGTTATAGCAGCACTTAGCTAACATAAAATCGTCTTACGACACACTTTGCTACTCGACCGTGTGTTGATAATATTAAATATTTAACCCAACCTACAAATTTTGTAGGTTTTACTAATAAAATTCGCCTGTAATTATTTATGGAAGCCTATTGTCTCTCGGAGCAACCCATAAAAATGGCCGCCTTATATACAGAATGAATTTGACGGAAGGTTTTAAGGGAACTTGCCACGTGACACATATATATGAGATCCTCGTACGTCAATCGAAGAAAAAATCAACCTCTTAAATGTTTTAATCATCTTGGCAAATCGTAGATGCAGCTAAATGGGTTAAGCCACCCCTTTCTAAATTAAATTTGACTTTATAATAACAGTTACATAAAAAACATTTTAAAGATGTTTAAATTAAAAATATTGGGATGGGGGTTATGTTTTTAACGATGTATTATTTACGACTCTGCGCAAGCATTCCAAATTTGCAAAGGACTTAAAATTGTTTATGCACTCCAATCATTTGAAAATTAGAGCTTAAAAAATATTAATAATTTTTTAAGTTGTGAACTTCATAAATTTATAAAACTGTTGATAAAAATTGCTTGAAATATTGCAAAAAAAAAAAAATTTAATAAGTTATTAAAATAGATTTACAAAATGATTGATTTATCATTGATCACTAAATTTCTCTTTAAATAATAATCTTGAAAATGATTTTTTTTGGCTTGATAATTTAATTAATGTAATACTAATTTATAAGTGGTTAAATATATTTTAGATTAGCCCCTTACAACTTATAAAATTATTAATTTGATTTTTAAATAGCATATAATATAAACAACTATTTAATTAAGTAAATAACTGATCGATAACAATTTTGGACTAGTACTTCGTAACTTATTGACTTATTCATACTTAGGCGACTACAAATATGCGACCGAAAAAATGTAATAATAAAATTCGATTACTAATATTGTACAAGAAAGCATTTGTAGAGTACTAAATTGAAAACTAAACAATATATTGTGCGACGATTTCATTGATTATTCTCAGTTCGATGAGTAGGTATTTAAGGAAGTTAATACTGAAGTCAATTAAGCTAAGTAGTAAGAGCGACAAATTCAAATAATCAGATGAGCAAAATTAAAGTTTTATAAATGTATAGTACAATGAATATACATCATGAGAGAACGTGACTTGGCGGCCAAATGTTAAGATAAAAGGAAACCTATCTTTATCAATAGTTACTGAGTTGCGTTTTTTCGTGTCCCGCGGGTTAGAAATAAGTTTATAAGCAAACTGGCAATGTCGCTTTCATGTGTCTGTGAGAAAAAGGGACAGAGCGTTGAAATCATATTCAAAATTTATGATTTATAAATATTGCTAATTTGCTTATTAACTTACATTTTAGTTGAATTTGTCGTCGTCTTTAAAATATTTCTTTAATCTGCTGAAAACGGTTGTTTGAATTTGTCGCTCAATGTACTAAAATTATTGCTATTAAAAGACCGTCTGGTTGGGTTATTTTTCTATTTGTTATTTATTGCCCATTAGTATTGTAAATAAATTATATTTATAAAATATATAATATTACGGCTTAGATCATTTTTAGAACAAATTATTCAAGCACCACTTTTACTCTATTATAATTAATCTTTTTATTCTATTATTAACAGAAATTGTTGTTATGTTTGATGGAAGTTGAACATTTTCTTAGTACATTTTATATAAGAAATATATGTTGCAATTTTATTAATTTAATCGGTTGTGCGCTATAATAACTTTTAATTTTTAAATTAAAAATATAAATAATTGTGATCTTAAAAATATATAAAACTGTGTGATATATTACAAAAAAAAATTATTATATATATACATAATGTGGTATTTAATTAGCTTTAAAGTGTGAATGATTTATTATTGACCGCTAAATTTCTCCTAAAGTAATAAACATTTTAAACTTTTAATTTATTTTTAGCTTTTGTTGAGTACTATCTCAATTTATAGGTGGTTAAATACTTTTTAGATTCGTCCTATATCTATTATAAGGACATCAACTTTATTTTTTAAATGACCTACATATTTAACTAACTAATAAGATAAAAATGTAAAACTTAAATTTAAAAAAATTATTTTTGGATCAGTACTTCGAAAATTATTACTATTTTTATATGAGGCGGGCGAAAAAGCACAGCCGAGAAACGTCTAATTATATAAATAGTTATATCAAAAATACTTATACACTAAAAGAGATTTATTGTAGAGAAATAAATGAAAAACTAAACAACGGAATTGGCGACTAATTCATTGATAATTTTTAATTTTTTGAACAGGTATATGAGATGAAAATTACTGAAATTAATCGAGGCAAGTAGTAAAAGAGACAAACTCAAATAATCGGATGAATAAAATTAAAGTGTCATAAATGTTTAGTACAGTGAACATATTGTACGACAGAACATAACTCGAGAGTAAAATGGCAAAATAAACGGTTCTTATTTTACCCAATATCGCTCAGTTACGTTTTCTCTGGACAAATTATAGAAATAAATGTATAAGCAAACTGGCAACGTGGATAAAATAAGCGAAAGAACGTTTTTAGCGCTCCGTGCCTTTTAATTGTATAGGCTTATCACAGCAACGTCGCCAGTTTGCTTATAAAATATCTTTTATATGAATTTGACACTCTCACTATCCGATCGATTGATTTCAGTATTCATTTTCTTGAATATCTGACCATGAAATTTATTAATAAATTTGTCGCCGTTTTTAAAATATTTTTTCCATCTGCTAAAGACGGTTTTTGAATTAATGTTTGAATATGAGTCGATAACACACATAGCATTTAAGGGCGGCAGGTCGGATCTTTAGCTGCTAATTTTTTAGTAGCCGACAAAAGTAAAATATTCTTTCTTTGAAAAATTAATTATTAGTCAAAAAAATAAAGGTTATTATGAAAGATTTGAGTATGAATTTAAAGTTTACCAGTCTTGAATTTATTTATACGTAGTATTAGAGACCATTTTTGATTTTTAATGACTCTTAATGTGTGATAAGAAATTCAAAAATTTTTAAGCGTATAATTAATAATACCAACATACAATTCATAAGATAAAATTGTGAGTTTTACAAAAAATTTGTAACACGAATAATATGTCTTAGCGCCATTAAACGGCGTTTTACAAATTTCAGATTGACTATTAACATATTTATGATACAAAGAATATTCCTTAATATATGCATGTATTAACTACGTGTACGCACTAATGTTTACTAGGTTTACTCGCACTATAGTAAATATAAACTTAAATTAAATTTTACATGAGCATTTCGACACTCTAATTTTTCTTAGAGAAAAAAAGCATTTACAATTTTACCATTTGACTCAATCGCCCAGTAACGTATTTTTTTAATTAAGAGATAAACATTTTTAATTTCCATTTTTCGCATATATAAGGTTTTTCAAAAAAAAAAAAATATCAAAATCACTTAGAAAAAAAAATTGAAAATAATTTAAAATTGCTTGATTTATTGTTTTCCTTTTTCTCTCATTTGCCTCCATACCAACTATTTGCAAGGCAAAAACGATCCCACTTAAAACAATGAAGCAAGAAATAAGAGTTCACTGACATGAATATTAATTCATATTTTGCCGGTATAAAATATATGAATGATAGTACCAAAAAATAATTCACATAAACGAATGTATATATACACACATTTGTTTATACCGATTATCAAATACAAACTAATATAGGAATCATAAAATAAACACGCCATTTCACATTTATCAAAAAACGTTTTATCATACATCATTTTTCTATCATTTCGGTAAAATAACAAAAGCCAAAGAATCATTATTTAAGACAAATCTTAAATTAAAGTATTATGAGTAAATACATTTAAATTGCTTATAAATATTTAATGTTTAATGACATTTATAGACTACATATTTATTTTATTCTATTAACAGTATTTAAAAAAATATAACAGTTATATCACTGTTATTAAGAGTTTCATACAAAGATAACATTTTTTTGAGAAAATAACAGTCATTGTTATTTTGAAAATAACAATAACAGTTTAAAACAGTTATCAAGATTTATAACAAGTTGCATCGCTAGCCGACACTGTATACGAGATAATTTAGAAGTTGTCAATTATTTCATATTTTATTAGTTTATATGATTATAAAGACTAATAAAGACTGACAAAGACTAGTAAAGAGTGATAACAAAATATATCAGTGTTTTATGCACATCATGATTATTATGTAGCTATTGGTAGTACTAGATAAAACAGTTTTTATTTTATCTGTAGTAATATGATAACGTTGGTACTTCTCTACATGCATTAAATACATTTGTGTATTATCTCCGATCTCATCTACAAGTTGTGACGCAAGCGCAATTTTGAACGATAAGAGAACTTGCGGTGTTTTATAAATGTTAAATGCGTGAGTAAATTGTGACTACATATTTGTGTTCATGCGTTATTAAATATAAATAAATAAATGGTTATAAAATCTTTGACGTTCAACATAAGTTCAGTTATTTGATTGCAGAGTAGTTTTAAAATTAACAAAACTAATCTGATAAATTGTCTCATTAAAAATAATTTTGTAGTTCATTAATATGTCGTTGTCCAAAACGACAAACACGTACAATCGACAAAATTGGGAAGATTCTGTAAGTATATATCTAAATTTATCATTTTTTTAAAATTATTTTACTATTAAAAATTTTTGAAGACTATTCAAAGTTCTGAATTAATGATGAAACACAGGACAACAACAAATAATAAAACATTTTTTATTGTACTTATTATTAGGTGAATTTTGTAAACATTTATTTCGATTGAAGAATTAAAAAAAACTACAATTTTATTATTATATATGTTTTAAGTGCCGTTTATAGTTAAAATAAAAAAAATTAAAAGACATGTTTTTTGATGCTCCACACAATAATGTAATTGGATTTAGCATATGAAATTATTTTATGACATAGTTGTTTTTTTTAATTTCAAACTAAATATCAATCAAAATTTGCAAAATATTTGTAACTATTTTTTTAAATTGTTTTGAATGATTGAGAAACCAAGTATTAGACTTGTTAGTTTGTCATTAAACTAAAAAAACTATAGCGGAGAGAATTCAGATTTTTTTTTCTAAAAAATACCCATTAAAATCAAATTTAAAAGACTCTAAAAACAGTTAAACTAAAACAGATGAGCCTCTTTTTTAATATCATCATGTTTATAGGATGACCCATCATGAATTACTAATTTTAACATTAGTTTGTATAGTAAAATTAGTAAATCACGGTGGGACATACTCTAAAGAAATATTTATTCAAAAATTTTCAATAAAATAATTCAAACTTTTATAAATATTCAACTATCACTTAATTACAAATTAGTAATTGTATCAAAAACTAAATTTTATAAAAAAAAATCTGAAGTTAATGCACTGTTCTAACAGAACACTTTCTTGATTCATAAGAATAATGTAATTTATATTTTCTTTTACCTCTTATACATGTATATATAATAATTAGAATTACTTTTATGTTATTTTAATTTGTTCCAGGATTTTCCAATAGTATGTGAAACATGCCTAGGCGATAGCCCATATTTACGAATGGTAATTTTAATTCAATGTTTAATTATTATAAATAACAATTTTTTTCTTCAAATGATATAAGTCATTGTTAATTTATATGCATACATTTTTAGACAAAAGAAAAATATGGGAAAGAATGTGAAGTTTGTGCAAGACCATTTACTGTTTTCCGTTGGTGTCCAGGGGCAAGAATGCGTTTTAAGAAAACAGAAATCTGTCAAACGTGTGCACGTCTTAGAAATGCTTGTCAGACATGCCTCTTAGATCTTGAATATGGATTACCTTTACAAGTAAAACTATAAATATTAAAAAAAATTTGTGATATTTATTCTTTATTTAACTTTTTAGGTTCGCGATGCAGCTTTGAAGATTAAAGAACAGATTCCAAAATCAGATGTTAATAAAGAATATTTTGTTCAAAATATGGAAGCTGAAGTAAGACTAACAAACATGTTATTTGAATTTTAAATATTTTTTATATTTTTTTTTATAGTTGGCTAAAATGGATGAAGCTGGGGGGAAATGTCAAAGTGCTAGTGATGTATTAGCAAAAATGGCTCGTAAAGCTCCATATTATGAAAGAAATAGGCCTCATATATGTTCATTTTGGGTTAAAGGTGAATGTAGAAGAGGAGAAGAATGTCCATATCGTCATGAAAGGCCTACTGATCCTGAAGATCCACTATCTAATCAAAACTTTAAAGATAGGTAAATAATTGTTTAAATTTGATATTACTATAATATCAAATTTTTTATTTGAAATTTATATTGTGAAATATTGCGGGTTATATATATAAATCAATACCAAAACTAATTTCAAAAAAAGGTGACTAAAAATAATGTTTATTTAATATTTATACATTGTTTATTAGTGAAAAATATTGGCTAAATATTTTATTAAATTACAGATTTTTAATACAAAATCTTGTACATATATCTATTATTAATTTTTTTTCTTTTTTTTGTCATCTTCCAACTATTGGCAGTCAATCAATATATTGAATTATATAAATATATTTTTTTTGTAGTTTATGATTGAAATCTATTAAATGGGGTTGAAATTATCTAAGTTATTACTAATTTGTGTTTTTTTTGTGTAAGAAATAATTCTAAGGTTATAACTTGTTTCAATTAATTCATTTAATTTGTAGATACTATGGTGTCAATGATCCAGTTGCTGAAAAAATGATGAATAGAGCAAGTGAAATGCCAAAACTTGAAAAACCAGAAGACCAAACTATTACAACATTGTATGTTGGAAATCTTAATGATATTACTACGGAAAAAGATTTGAGGTAAATAATTAATTAATATATTGATCTAGTTCTGATTTAGACAGATTTATTTTATTATTCTGTTTATATTTTAGGGATGTATTTTACCAGTATGGTGAAATACGAAGCATTACTCATGTAGCTCACCAAAATTGTGCTTTCATCCAGTATACAACACGTGCTGCTGCAGAAATAGCTGCTGAAAGTACTTATAGTCGTTTGACTTTAGGAGGGCATAAATTAAATGTAAGGTGGGGGCATGCTCAAGCTCGTAAAGATAAAGATGCAGTCACTTTAAGTGCTATTAAAGATTCTAAAATAAAACCAGCACCTGGTTTACCAGCTCCATTACCTCCACTACCTTCTGAATTACAGAACAATTTTTTCAACATTACTCCTCAGTCGGTACCTGTTGTTGCAACAACCCCTTATTTACCGGTTATGCCTCCATTACCTCATCCTGGTATGCATTATATGTCATCTACTCCACATTACCCTCCTGGTAGCAGTAAATAATTTTTATTTTTTTAATTAATTATATATTGTTTGTAAAATGTGAAATATAATTTCATCATTAAAATTAAAAATTGTAAATGAAATATAACATACTTTTTTATGATTAAAATTTTGTTCATTATTTATGTTTGTTGACTAAGATACAGAAGCCATTTTTTCATATACCAAAATATAACACCAATAACATCAAATGTATATTTCAAACATTGATTTATTTAATTTGCAGTAGCATGATTAAAGTTTTGTTTTTGGGAAGATATACATAAGAACTAATTTTCATTTATCCTTTCCATCAATTCTACCCTTGCAATAATTTTTGTTCCAAAGTTTTATTCCGTGTTTTATTACTTATATACATATTAACCAGTTACTATGTAAAAGAGAAAATTTTATATCATTGTTAAACAATATGAAAAAAGTCATCATTCAAATAAAACCGTTCATTATGAATGAACAAACATTATAAAATTAATAGTTAAAAATTTTCAAAAGATTGACTTGCGTAATTATAAAGGGGTAGATGATGTTTGAGAACTTAACTTGAAAATATTACAATCCCCTTATCCAGGCTTCATTGGTAGACTAGTGCTAGCTGACTCATTGAGTAAAAAACTGGAATGTTTTGCGAGACAATTGATCGTAGTGTTCCAATACCTAGTCATAGACTTAAATATGTACAATAAGTTTATGTGCGTAATGAACGATGTGAGTGAATGCGTCACTACGTTCTCATTAGTTTAGTTTAGTCATACACGAGTGTGGTTAGCGATCGGTTGTCTTTGTTGGACTTACAAACGGTTGTAAATGTACGTGTTGTGACTTCCGTTAAATTACTCTATTTTTTACGCATTATTTATTAATAGTGATCAAATTTTATTCATAACATATTTATTTATTTATCACGTCATAGAATATTCCTATTATATCGTAGGATATTTAAAAATTGCAATAGTAAAATAGAAGTACTTTTCTTAATGTTTATTTAAATATTATTTACAAAATATCAACACATCGGCTGTTCAAAATTATGAAAATTGTTTATTACGGCTTCTGGTGCTTATTTTCATTATACACTTGTTAACTCATTAGTTAATTTTCTATATAAATGCAACTTATGTCTGTTTCTGTGCTGTAATTAAGTATAGTTAATTGTTATAAAATGTTGTCGATTAAGTCTATTATCATAGCTTTGTCATGTATATCATTGACCAACGGATTTGACTTGGATATGGCGGATGATGCGTTTTCGCTTACAGCTAAGGTATTTGAATATGTTACTAAAACTTGGGAAATAGCTGACAAAGTTGAAGATCGAGTTGGTGATGACAAAGCACCTGTTGTGTGGTTCACTAAGAAAAAAGAACGTATGATTCTACATAATTTTGGAGTTATCACTGAACTATTACAATCTTCACAGAAAGATACAGCAGACATCAGGTTTATGATGTTAAGTAGTCTTAAGAAATTGCAAAACATGCCTAATGTAGTTCTAAATGGAATTCAAGTAAATGAACTGTTAGAATCTGTTAGATCACTAGAAAATGATTATAAAACCATGGAAGGTAAATAACAATTATTTTATTATTTTTATTTATAGTTATAATTTGAGAATTTAATTCAAAGATTATTGTTATCAAAATATTAATAATTCTCAAGTTATAAGTTTAAAGACTATACTCTAAAATCACATTTGGTACCAGATTTCTGAGTGTTGACCACCTCTAATATCCATTATGAGTAATATTCTATCCAAGGCCCAGTACATAGTATATTGTGAATATTATGAATATTTTCTTATCATAAAACCCATATTATACTTGATTAAATATGTTCTTTTTTTTTAAATAAATTTTATAAATTAGTATTTAAAAAATTAGTAATTATTTGTATAGTTTCTTAAATTAAACTTTATAGCCTAAAAACATGTAGTAACAATCATTAAAGTCTCCACTTTCATATTATATTAAGTATAGCAATTAAAACTATTTAAATATTCATGAAATACTTTTTCATATTTTGACTGTAAAACCATATATATATATATATATATNTAAAAAGTAAGGATTAAATAAATTTCTCACTGTATAAAAATTATGTTTCTCTTTTTATTTAGTATTCAGTGACAGCCTAAATTCAAAATGGTTTATTACAGGCATCGTTTTTCTATATATGATTAAAAAAAATTTTTTCTTAAAGAAAAAAAATACCCATAATATAATGATCTGAAATTAATGTAATTGATTTTTGATGGTAATGATAAGACATAAAATTATCTATTCTCTAATAATATATTTACTATAGCTGATTTTTATAATAATAATCATAATTATTGGTCACTAATACTAGAAAAACAATGGGGTATGGATTTTAACTTAAAACAAATTCTAAATATTATATATTATAAAAAATGGTGAAGAATTTCATTATGTATTGTTATAATTAATTAATAGAGTTAAAATTTTGGATTGAACTATTAAATATATTAATATATATATATTATGGTTTGGATTTTTTATGGAACACTTAAATTTTAGTTAATGTAACAATTTAATCATTTAAAAGATACTATTCACACTTAAAAATATCCATAAAGAAATCTCTTACTATTTAATCTTAATTTTTAGAATAAAAATTTTGTAATACTTTCTAAAATAATAAATTTTGCACAAAATAGTAATTTTATTCCTCTAATTTCTTTAAATGTGTGTATATTTATATTTAGAGTATAGATCTGGTGACAAAGGTTCTAATGAGAACAAAGTAAATCCATCATATGCATCTTATACATTAGAAAAGTTTGCTGATGCCATGCTAGAATATTCACCTGGATCTCCTCACAAGCAGCTATCAAAAATTCATACATTTATTGTTCCACAGTGGGAAGGTTTCAATTTTCATACTTATGGAGGCATTTTCAATATATTGCATGAGACCTTGGTAAGTACAAATCTTGAAATTTAATGGACATGATTATATATGAAATTACATACATAGTAGTGTTTTATTATATTATATGAGAAACCAACCTATGATGACTAAGAATAGGATTGAGTTTCATAGACACAATTAAATTCAAAAACATAGTTGATAAATCATTGTTAAAAAACTTATACATCATATTGACAGTCTAAGATTAAAAGAGTGTATCAACCAATTTCTTATTTTCCTGAAGAGCAAAATTAAATTTTCATTTTACATTTAAGCTAATGAAGTATTTTTTTTTCATAAAAAAATATTTCTTGTAACAAATTCATATATAATTTTTACATCAAAAAATATTTTACATATTAGTGATTGAAATATTTTAATAATTGAAAAATTACAATATTGGTTGATAAGTTCCTGTAATTTTAGATCCTCAATATGTTTGTCATATAGCTGAAAATTGTTGGTAACTGATATAAATAAATTGGTCGAATTTTTTTGTGGGTCTAGGAGTTTATACCCCCTAACCACAATATTAATTAATTATACATAATATAAAAGATAAGATCATTATGTATATTTATATATTTTAGAAAAATATTTAAATAAAAATGTAGACAATCTATTTTGAAAAATTGAAATCGTAACTTGATAATTTTCTATATAAATTTTCATAGATACCAAACAAATTTTAATTTGTTTTAATTTTTATTTTATTCCAAAGAAATTAATTTAAAACCATTGTGGTCCACTTTTCAACATAGGATAGGTGGACCTTTGATGAATTTTTGGAAAGGTTAGAATAAAATAGCCAAAAGTCTTACATAAAATTACAATAAAATTTCAATTTAGGGGTTATGCTTCCTCAAGTCTCCTCAATTGTTCGTCTATGCTTCTATTACTTTATGCATTAATAAAAATCATGTAAAAATTTGCTAGAAAAAATAAACTTGCTGATTATTTAAAAATATTTGTGGTTCAATGGATAAACAAAAAGTTAAAGGGCTTATTTTATTTAGTTAAAATTACAAATGTTTTGCAATTTTTTCATTTTTGTGGTGCTGTTAATATTAAAAAACCTGTATAATACAGCGTAACAAGTTAGGACAAGTATAAATAATATATGTATATAATATAATAGTAATAACCATAACTATTATAAAAGTTATAGCAGTTTTAAAATACTGAACATTTTTTTGAAAATCCCATTTTTCAGAGTACCAAATTTTTGAAAATTTTTAAAATTAAGGGTTTTTTTTATTTTTTGGCAATAATATATTCACAACTACATTAAATGCATGTTGTTTTGATGTACTGATCATCAAAATCTCAGTGAGACCTGAACGGATAGAAAAAAAATATTCATAGTAAAATTAATACCTTCTCAAATTCGTATAAAAGCTAAAATTTGCCTGAGAATATTTTAAAGAATTACGAATTTTTGACTTTATCACTTCATAATTTATAAGTAGAGATCCCTTTAAAAGAATTTATGTGGATAAAAAGTTATCATATTAATTAAGTTCCCCAGTAAATAAATACAAGATTTTAATTTATGTCTCTTTATTTGTTAGTTTAAATATTCTCTGATTTTGTTGTATTTATCAATAATTAATTATCATTTTTGAACCGATAATTATTTGAACAATTAAAAATAAATTATTTTATTGCTTCTAATCGAATTTAAACTAAAAAATTTTCATTCATATTGCTTCTAATGATTATATCAACACAATATTTGCTACGGTTTTCGGTTCAACGTTTGGCTTACACGTATCAATTTTTATTTCGTTGTCTATTATAATTGCGACTCACATTTTCTTGATATGTTTTTTTGTTTTAACGACGAGTAAAATTAAATCACTGATTTAATTTTTTGTTTCTATTTAACTATTATTAAATTTATTGATATTGTTATTGAATCTGTTATATTTACTATGAATTAATTATGACTTAAAGAATGTTTTAAATAATAACAAGTACTCATAAAATAATACTCTAATAATTTCTACATAAATATTGTTCAATAAATGATTTTTCCTATGAAATCATTTTAAATTATTTTAGTGTTTATTTATTATTATATTTGTAAAAATGCGTTGTTAAAATTGGTTTTTATATTAAAAATATACATACATTGTATATACAGAGTGGCCACCGTGATTTACTAATTCTAATATTAGTTTATATAGTCAAATTAGTAAAACCTGGTGAGACACTCATTTTATATATTTTTTTCATAATTTTTTTTTTGTTAAAAAAATTTTGTACATTCATTTCTTGCTTTTATACCAAATAATTCGTTATGGGTTACTTTATACGCTTAATAGATACACAATAAGTCAATGTCTTTGTCCTTGTTTTTACTATTAACGCCGCATGTATATATTTGTCACTCATAAAACAGCATGTTATTGTTATGATAATAGTGTACATATGTAAGCACAAACAGGAAATTGTAAATTGTATAATAAAAATCCCTCAACTCAGCAGTAGATAATGACGTGAATCATTGGTGCACTTCTGGTAACTTAAAAATGCATTTCAAACAAAAATTTCATAAAAGTATACAGAATGAAACAGATCTAATTAACAACTGTTATAATTAAAATTTCACTGGAATTTTTTTTTAAACTAATTTTTTATTCTTAGATTACGTTAAAAGCATATTTTTTATTATTTGTTTTTAACAGCAAAATAATTTTTTTTCCAAATGGCCAATTTTTAGAGAATTTCTTGCAAAAAGTTTTAATGAATAGATAACGATTTTAGGACAAGCATTTATCGAATTATAAGCATCTTAATACAGTATGTACGTAACGGAGTCGGGTACAGCAAGTACTGGTGTATAGTTATAACCAGGGCTTATAATTTTTAGCATTTGTATTTTTTAAGTCCTTGAGATATATACATAAGCTATAAATGTATAATATAGTATAAATATGTAAGAATATATATTATAATATTATAATTATTGTCTTTAATTACATTGTAGATGATATTTTTAATGATTCAATTGTAGGTATATATACTATATATTTATATATTTTTAATACTTATTGTATCATCAAAAATGTCATTTATATACCCAAGTCTCGAGTTGGCTTCTGTAGGAATGTTTTTTCGGGAAAAACTTTTGAACATTTGCAAAAGTTTTGATTTAAAGTTTTATTTATGATAAGCAGATAATAACGCAAAACACAAGTCCTTATGAAATAAAGATTTTTTATGGTGTTTAAGACCTAAAAATTTTTTGATTATTAAATGTGTGATGTTGAATTTTTTTTATGATTTATTTTAATATAAAAACATTTATTCTATAACACATTTGTGTCAGTTGCAAATGTATCATTATCAAATTCGCCAACATATACATTGTACAAAAAATTGAAAGCAACTGGTAAATATATATGTATAATTATAATATTGAAATACTAGGAAACTAATATAGTAACGAACGTGTTTCAATTAATATAAGGGTTCGATGGAATTATCGAATTATGGATGCTAACAGTAAAAATAGGACGATATTGAATCTATTTTGATTGTTTTTATGATTAATTAAACATTTTTTTAAAGTTAATAATTGCATACCGTCTTATCAACAAGGATGCTAGGGGTACATACAATTTTTAAAGGTACATTAGTTGTATCTTCTATGATTCGCATTTAAGTTACACAGTGGTGTATTTACGAGGATTCATGTAGTCAGGACTCTCATGGATACAAAGTCATATTAGCGCAAAGTAGTGGAAGTATGAATCATCCCACTACTTTTAATTTAAAAAGATATCTGGTCTCTTTTACAAAATTTTTAATTCGACAATAACAAAATATCTTTATCACGATATTATTACCGCGAATGCAATCGACTTTATGATAAAAATTGGGTCGCTATCGGACTATTAAAAAAATGTAAAAATAAAAAATTGGACACAGTTAAGAAACTCCCCTAATATTTTCCGGTGGATAATATATCATTTATCTACTCCTGCTGGTAATAATTTAATAACACTATAAATCAGTCTCAATATATTTATATTATTTGAAGTATTTAGTTATACTAATTTCCAATAACTATTTTTTAAACATTAGAATATGTATAGATGGTCGTCAAAACTGATGATTATTTTGTCTTTGGCGATAAAAATAATATATTGCGTTGTTAGTAAATGTTTAACATGATTTGTCATTTTATGTGAACTAATTAATTTATTTAATTATGATATTTTAATTTTAAAGACGTTAGTTATATTTTCAATTATTTAATTAAAAACAAATACTTAATCATGTTATTTTAAAAAAACATAGTATATTAAATTTTTATTGTTTTTTATTTGAGATTCTATAAGGCAAAGTCAGCAAATGTGATTTTTTTTAAAGTTATACGTTTATGTATATTGAAAATTTTTAAAAGTATTTTTATAATCAAAATTATGTTGAAAAAAAAGTAGAAAGTTGTTGACTTGAGTGTGCGACGACACTAATTAGATCTTTCAAACATTTTGTTCGAATCGCGTAATAAATGTGAGATAAGACCACAAAAAATTGCTTCATACGTACTTCTTTCTATTTCCCTTAATATTTAATTGTTACTATATATGTAATAATAATAATAATTATAATTATAATTTATTATTATTAATTATAATTAATACTATATATTGAATAGTGTTTTATATTTTTTTTAAATAATTTTTTTTTATTTTTATATATATTAAAAATTGTATAAATATAGTGTTTGGATATTTTTAGTTTTAAATTTGGTTCAGTCTCTAATATCTTTCTTAAGTATCCCTGAAAAAAACAAAAGGTTCGAGTATAAATATAAATGTACTGCTTGATGAAAACAGTATTTTTTGATAGTTTTAATATGGAATAAAGTGTAACACAGTCTTGTGTTGAGTACTATATAATAAACATTTTATTTGACACGTTTTCCATTCTTTGTTAAAAAATTATAATAAATATATGTAAGTAATTATCATAAATTAATATTTAATTTGTTATACAAAATATACCAGTTACGCAGTTATAAGAAAGGAGTGATAGACGTAGATCCCATCAGATAAAATCATATACATGGTGATTATAGAATTATTTTGTGTCACAGAGTAGTGAAAATTTTTTTTATGTATATTGCTTCAAAACAAAACCACAACTACGCAATTGTGATATACAGATTATTTTGCAATAGTTTGTTTTTCAAAAACTTTTTAGAACCTAATATTAAAATTCATATTATGAATTATATATAGTATTATGAAGAAAATATAAATTTTGGAAAATAAGTAGAAATGTTAAATAAAATATACAAGATAGCTATTTTGTAAAGTGAATTCTCTTCTTATTTTTTTGTAGTATAATTTCTAGAGCATTTTAAAGTTTACAAAAATTTGAATTTCTATTCAACCCTGAATAAAAAAGAATGACGACAGGTTTATTAAAAATTATAATTATGTGTAAAAAATATTAATTAAAAAACTTGCGATTAACTATGTTTGCACAAAACAAGTTTTTAAGTAAAATTATATGATAAAAATACTTTTTTGTGATATATCGTTACACGTTATTTCCACAATAACAATATTAAAACAAAAATAAATAATACTAAATAATTGTTTTATAAGTTGACTTATTTTTTTATTAATTGACTTGGGATTTTACGATGAAATGTAATACTTAAAAAAAAGAATTATTACTGTATTGGTGTCATGTATTTCGAATTTAGTAATGGTGTAGTATGTATTAAAAATTCTTTTAATGTTTTATCTAAATAAATAACTTATAAAATTTAAATGACATCTATAGACTTGCAAAAGTAAGAGAGAAAAGGTCTAAAGATTATCATTATATAAGGCGTATAAAAAGTGTTAATAATAAGGTAATCTCGAGTAATGATGATGTGAAAAAAAGTTGGAAAGAGAATTTTGAAAACGTACTGAATGAGGTGTACCCAAAAGAGATATTAGAGAATATCTCATAGAATGAGGAACTGGTAGATTTTATTAGTGAGAAAGAGGTATGGAAGGCTGTGGTATTAATGAAAAAGAATAAAGCAGTAGGACTAGGTGAAGTGCCAGTGGAAGAAGTATGGAAAATATGCGGTGTTGATATAAAGTGGTTGAAGGAATTTTTAAATAAAATCTTATTAGAAGGGAAAATTCACTTGCACTAGGGTATAAAACGTAGGAGGTGTATTAGAAGGTTTTCGGATAAGAGTAGGAGTGCACCATGGTTCTGTTTAAGCCCTTACTTATTCTCTATAGTGATGGATGAAATTACTAGAGAAATACAAGGAGAGGTGCCGTGGTGTCTGTTGTTTGCTGACGATATAGTGTTAATAGAAACAAATTAATCAAAGGCTAGAGGTGTGGAGATCAGTTCTTGAAGAAAAGGGATAAGGAGAAGTAAGACAGAGTTATAGAGTACGAGTTTGACAAAGGAGAACACGAGGTAGGTGAAATGAAAAGGACAATAGGCGAGTACGTAATTGGAGAGGTGGAGAGTTTTAAGTTGTAGCGACCAAAACATACGCAACGAATATTCTCGAATGTTCTCGTTATCAAAAACCTTCGGAAACTTCGATAACGCCATAAGATAACCTACGCGGGTATAGAATATTCTAGAATTAGCGAGAGCCTTATCGGAGCTATATATANTGGAGAGAAGTGTCTGGCGTCTTATGCGATAAAAAAATTCCAATGTGGCTGAAAGGTAAATTCTACAAGACTGTAATAAGACCAGCTATGATGTATGGTTTAGAGTGTTGGGTGGTTGATAAAAGAAAGTAGAGCAGAAAATGAGTGTAGCAGAGATGAGAATGCTTAAATGGATGAGTGTAGTGACTAGAGAAGATAGGATAAGGAATCGACATATAAGAGGGAGTATAGGTGTAGCGTCAATCGTGGATAAGATGAGAGAAAATAGACTTAGATGGTTTGGTCATGTTATGAGGAGAGAAGAATCGGAAGCTGTAAGAATAGTTATAGAAATGAATGTTGAAGGAAGAAGAGGTAGAGGAAGACCAAAAGAGAGATGGAGGGATCATATTGAATGCGATTTGAGAACAGCTGATGTGAGAGTAGATGATGAGGGAGATCGTGTCAAGTGGAAGTTTAGGATAAGGGAAGCCAACCCCAAGTAGTTGGGATTAAGGTGAGGAAGAAGAAGAAGAAAATAACTTATAAAATTTCATATTATAATTTTAAAATATTCTATTTTTTTAAGTTATAAAACATCAGATATTAAAGTATCTATTTTATGTTTTAAAACAATATATTTCTTTTGAACATGCGAAAAGCCTAAAAAAATGACAAAAGAAACATTCATGATCTATATTTATTCGAAGTTAATTGAAAAATACAGTTATTTTAATTTTAATTAATCTTGAAAAAAAATTTTAATCAATACAGCCTTACAAAAATATGTATATTAATTGGAAAGTGATCATTTTTTTAAATAATAGTGTAATAATAAAACTTAAAGAAGTAATATTTTTTAGCATAATGAATCTTATTTTTATTAAACAATTTCCTCAACGATAATTACAATTTTTTTTCCATAAATTTACAACAAATCATGTTTAATTTTTTTTTTTAATTTCTAATAGTACATCATTAGGATTATTACAGACTTAAAAAACTTTGAAAACCTGGAATAATCTAGGAAATTTATTATTTATTAATTGTGTAACAACCCTGATTCTTTAAGAGTAATAACTAAAGTATTTATTTTTACTTAAATTTTTTTATTTCAGGAAAACAGTGATATGCTTTGTGATAGAAAACAGTCTTTACAACAGCTTATATTTAATTTATATATGACATTACATTTAACTCAGTTAAAAGGATTTTCTGTAATGCAGTTTTCATGGATGCTATTACAAACATATGGCAAAGGTAAGAGTATTTATAACTAAGAACTTTAAATGATTGCATTAGCAAATTTTATAAAATATTTTAAATTTTAATTTGAACCTCCTAAAAATAATTAAGTTAAACTCAATATTAGAAATAATGTAATACGAATCCATTTTTTTATTTTCCAATTTTCTGAAGATTCTAATAAAGACACTTTAACAAATGTTAAATAAAATAAGTCAAAATTTTATTTAAGTTTAATTATTAAATTGAAATGTTTTAGGTATGGTTTAAGTTTGATGTTTTACTATTAAATCTAATATCTATTAAATAGTTGTATTTATTTTGCTTTGAGTTTTAATAATAGTAATATAATAGTGGGCTTTTATTTGCCTATCTGTTAATTGATTTTGGTGGTTTTATGTTCTATACTAATTGTACTAAAATAGTTATTTTGTAATATTTATTAGGTAACTTTACATTTGAACGTAAAAAGCAAAAAGATCAATTTGAAGATAGAATTAAAATGCAATTGAATATTTTGAAGAAATCTATGTCATCTGCTAACAACATGTATTGGAGATGTGATCCACCTCAACACAAATTAGGTGAAACATATTTAGAAGTCACTCAATTATTGCAGGTTAAACTTTAATATTTAATTTTAATTAAATAAATGGTTATTAGCTAGGATAAAGAATATTAACTTTATTTTTATAGGGATATATTGAAAATGAAGTTGATATGAATACAGATCAAAATTGTTTTCAAAACTGTGCTTATTATGATGTAGCTGAGCATAAATCTTGTTTTAAAGATCAGTTTTGTTCAAAGCAACATTCCTGTAATGGACGCATTCTTAACTGTCAATATTTTGATTCTGATATGAGAATATGTCAAGCAGTATGTTCAAAATTATAATAATGTGATTTCTCAAGTTAGTTAATTAATTTATTTATTTAGCCATTTGGAAGTAACAGACGATATGATTACATTGAATATGAAAATGGAAGAGTGTTGGGTGATAAATCTGGTGGTTGTAAAGGCGCTTCAAGCAAAGTTGATAGTTGGTGGAGGTATTTAGTTTACCATTGTTCCTATTGTTTTTGTATCTGTGATTCTTCTGAGCGTTCTTCTGACCGATATTTTAGTCTACATCCATCACTTTCTGATATTTCTAAGAACAAGTAAATACTGCTAGTCTTAATTTATTTTTTTTATTTTTTTGGAATAATCATCTCTATTATTATTTTTTAGGGTAGTAACTGGTCTTAGATTTCATAAGATTAAGCAGATGTTCCATTTACAAGTAGAAGAAGGTATTATTGGTCCTCATGGTTCTATAAATGAATCTTCAAGACAATGGGTTGATTTACCAGGTCCTGAATTTACATATCAAAACAAAACTCTTTTGGAAGGTGTTGACTATCATGCTTTATCTTACACTTCACGCTCTATTGATCTTGATAATGTAATGGCTCCTCAAAATATGGTCGTAACTGGTAACAAAATTAAATTTTTTTTGTTAATTGATTTATTTTTAATTAATAATATTAAATCCATATTTAAATTCAAAAACGTATAAAACAAAAATTTGCGAGTGTTAAATTAAAATGTTTTCAATTTTTTTAAAAATTTATTACTCACTTTATAGTTTTACATATTTATATTTTGGGGGTTATTGCAAAATTATATACACTGTTATACAAAAATTATTTTTTAGAATGGGAAAAAATTTGGTTCCACCTTCAAAAAATTAATCATTATACTCCTATGAATATTTATATATATATATATATATATATATTCAAAACTTACAAATTTAGTATAACTAGATAATTAGAAAATGAATCAATTTTTTTAAAAAAATTTTAAATTAATCTTAAAACCAATTTATTAATCTACTATTATTATTGAGATTCTAGTATTTGTTAAAATAGAAAGCTATAATTCATTTTATCATTATCATAAGACAGATGATAGTATTTAAATCTTTAAGTAAATAAATCTTGCTTGTATGTGTTCAAATAAATGAACAGTTTATGAAGCTATGTGCTTGACATATTGTGCGAATTAAATTGAAATAAGCAATAAAATATTTTTTTATTAACTCACATAATATTCACTGATATGATTTGATCTTCAAAAATACCGGTTCATTTGTATAAAACCCAACTTTATGATGAACCTATGAGTTGGTAATAGGCTCTCCAACTTAATTATCTTAAGATTTTTTATTTGTCATTAGCCCGATCTTTTAAAAATAATTTATAACTGCTACTACCTAGATTTATCATTAAAATGATAAAAAAATAACTCTAAGCTGATTGAATTTAAATTCTAAGAAATACTATCCATTTAATATAGTTTGTTTGTGAAATAGTTGATAAATTGTCTTTAAAAATGATCATTTTACTTTTACTTTTTAGTTATTTGTCATCTAATTTTTTTTCTTCAAATTTTTACTTAGATACTTTTAGCTTTCAATGCTATAGTTATAGGTGGCTCTATTTGCTGAGCTAGAGATTAATTAAATAATTGGAGTTGTCAACCCTCTCTCTCCATTGACAGACTAACCACTTGACACAAAATATCCATGATTATGAAGTAGTCTTTTCAGGGTAGGCTGTCATAGCTCTTAATAAGTTGCAAAAGTGTAAAAAAAAATTTATTAAATGAATTATTTTAAGTACAGGCTAGTGAACTGCGTAATTGATCATACTATTTGATCATTTTTATTCAATTTTAAATGTTTTTTTTTTTAATTAATATTTAATTAATAATTTTTTAAAATTGAAAAAAGATAGTGGTTTTACTAATAGAACAACAAAATTTTGTATTGCTTAAAATTAGTATTTTGATCCCTTTCAAACCTACCTAGTTCAAGTACTAAAAATATGTTTTTTGACATTAGATAAATTATACTGTATGAACCCATTAGCAAATTTTTGATTCTAGTCTGAATTATAGTATGAATCATTTTCATAATTTTTTCTTTGAATGGTTAATTAATAGCAGAGAAATTTTCACTGAGTGATTTTTAACAATATATTACAATGTTCATGAAAATTCATGCTATTAAAAGAAGTTAAGAGATTTTTTCATGTTTATATATGTTATAGCTAAAACAATAATTAATATTTGAATGAGTTGATCCATTTTATATAATCTATACTTATGTGAGTATTGATATTTAATTAACTTTTGATTATTATTTTAGGTGTGAAGTTTAGAATGATAGGATCACATTTAAATATTGAAGTTCGTGTAACACCTTACGATTTCATTACTGGTAATCTTATTGAACCTAATGAAAAAAGTTATTGGATCGGTAATGAAAACACTGAATTTTCCAAAATTGAAAGGTATGTTTCATTTGTTATAATGTATATCTAAGAAAATGATTTAATATATCTTTAAATTTAATAGAATGGAAATTGATATAAATAATTCAGATTTGCCAACTAAAGCAAATACTCCATTTGAACCAGATGTTACATCTAATAAATTTCTAATGTTTACACATTCTTCAATTGACCATGATGTTGCACAAACAACTCTACCTTATATTGACAAACAAACTGTTGCACCATATCCGGCTGCTCCATTATCAGGAGTGGGTATTTATTTCAAAGGTTTAAAAGGATATGCTGGTTTTATTGGAGCAAATGTATTTACTTATGATTTCAGCAAAGATATTAATTTTGATTTGTTTATAACCTCAAAAAAATAGTCATAAATGTATATATTTTGTATATATTTAATTGTGTCTTATCCTATATTTACTAATTTCATGATAAGTTTTTACCTAAAATTGTGTTAGCCATAAAAAATAAATTTTTATATTGTATAAAATATTGTGCCAAAATAAAATTTATTTTAAATTGAAATTAATTATTTGTGCAAATTTTTTAGTATGCAAGTTGTGATAATATACACTTTTATTTTTAATAAGGTTCTTTAGTCTTTTAATTTAACTTATTGTAAGATTGTACAGATTATTTAGTAATTTTATTACATATTTTGATAAATATTTTTCAATTTTTCTTTATGTATGTTACACTTGTCTGTGCTTCTTTTATTCATAATCAAATTTATAAATAAATTGAGTTAATTTGAAGATTTGTTTGATGATTTACAACATGTGTAATATAAATACTAACTTTATAATATACAGAGGTTATACTATAAAAAATGCTTTATCTTTTCATTGTTATTTTTGTTCAAAATGTATTTATTGAATCAGAAAAGGTTTTTACATAACTATAGATTTATTATTATTATAAGGTAAAAATAAAATAACTAATTAAAATATCTGAGATATATTATAATAATTGTTTATTTTTACTAAATTGTACATAGGATTTATAAAAATAAATGTCTTCAAACTTATTTATTACAATAAAAATACTTAAACTAATATCATAAGTAAAAATTAAGTTAATTTTTAATTGCAATAAATAAACTAAAAAAGACAAAAAAATTCATCTTCAATTTGGATGGTAATAAATGAATGTTTGGCTGTAAATAATAAAACAAAAAATATACAAATACTTAGGATTGAGGGAGATCTGCTATTGGTGTTACAAACTTGAAGTCTTCAGGAAATAACAGGGATGCATTTGCTAAAATCAACTTATATGATTGTTTAATAGTCACTTCGGCAACGCCGGCAATATCACCAATTTCTTTTTGAGTACGTTTTTCATCTGATGCTTGAGATGCAATGAAAATAGCAGCTGCAGCAACTGATATAGGTGATCGACCAGGAACAATATCATACTCAACTGCTTTTTTAGCAATATGTGTAGCAGCCCTTTGAACCATATTGGGTAGACCTAAATTACAGCAAAATCTAGACATGAAATCACCTGTTGTAATTAAATCAACACTTGTTTCTAATGCTTTCAAAATTAATTTAAATACACGTCCAATTTCTTTTTTGCTAACCTTACTAACTGCACAAATTTCTTTAAATGTACGTGGTACTCCTTCTTGTCTACATGCAATATATAAACTTGCAGATGCTATAGCATCATTGGATCGGCCTTTTAAATTTTTTCCATCATGTACTTGTTTAAAAAGTACATTTGCTCTGTCTACAATATTACGTGGTAAATTAATACGATCAGCCATCAAACCAATTTCTCTGTAAGCATTTAATAAAGAACGATTTGTAGAGCACACCATTCCTTTATTTTTATATTTCATTCCTCCAAATTCATCAAATGAAGCATCTCCTCTTGAAGGCCCAACCAATGTTGATAAGTCTGATCCATTAAGTAATGGATTCTCTGCAGCACCAACACGGGAGGGATCTGCACCATTACTGTTTTTATCATTGCTGAATGTACGCCACTCTGAACCAACATCTATTACACGATCTCCTACTACAAGTCCACATTCAGAACAGATTTGATCACCTGCTCTATAGTCTTCAATCAATGGTGCATCTGGATGTTGTTGGCATTGTACTAAAAATAAATACTTATTTTACTAGACAATGTAATTATATATCTAATATCTTAAAGTAAAATATAGTGCTTCATATTTTTAAAATAAATTAACAATTTATTTAAAAAAAAGTAAAAGTATCTTGAATAAAACACTTTTGTCGTTTATGTAATATCAAAAATTTATGGTAGTTTTAACATACAGTATTTCATAATAAAAGAGACAAGTTTAACATGCTATGGTAATTTAATTTTAGGATTTTTTTTGTATACTTTCCTGTATTAAATAACTTAACAATGATAAAAATGATGTTTAACAATACATTCGGTTGTATTATTTTTATCAAAAAAAAGCTTTTTATGACAATGGTCATCACTAAAATTTATATATAAACTAAGTTTCTATTTATATTTTATCTAAAAACTTCCTGTATTTCTAATGTTGTAAATTTGTATTTAGCAAAATATAAATAAAAACATGATTTTTCTGATATATGAAGTTATTTTTTCTAATATGTAATACACTTAACTTACCTAAATTTTTAGACATAATTTCCGTAAGTGTTTACTATGTTAAAAATTATGTCTATACACTAGACAGTTTATTTAATATTGTAAGTCTTGATAAGCTTTAGAACGATAATGTATAATCGTGTCGTTGTGATAACTTAGGTAAAAAAATATATTCGTTGACGTCATATATTTTATTAAGCAAACATTGTACCAACTTAAAAAAAGTCAGTGTTGATTTTTAAAAATATGAACATAGAAATTTGTACTTGAAGAATAAAAAATTTAATTTATGATCTTAAAACAAAAATAATTTACAAGAGATGTTTGTTTTAATGAAGAAAATTTACATTTTAATTTATGTTCTATCATGTTTTTCCATTGATACGTGAACAAAATTTTATATTTTACTTAACAGAAATGTAGAAAGTAATCAAATCATAAGAAAATAAGTAAAAAATATTAAAAAATACATTTCTTATACTCTATTTTAATGTTATTGAATAACTAAATATTTTATTCTTAAAAACTGTTCCTTTTTAAGCACCATTACTTAAATATTGCAGCTAAAAGAAATTCGTTTTCGATCAGCTACAAGTCTAACATTTTAAATTGAATAGTACGTATTTATTAATCTCTACATACGTCAAATTTCATAGGAAAAATTGTGAGTTTTACAAAAAATGTGTAACACTAATAATAGGCTTTGGCGTCATTAAACAGCGTTTTAAAAATTTCAGAGTGACTATAAATACATATATAATACATAGAATACTCCTTTAATTATGGATGTATTGAGTGCATATACGCACTATAGTTTACTAGGTTATAAACTTAAATTAAATTTTACATAAGCATTTCGACAAATTTTTCTGTTCAATTTTTCAATCTAAAATAAAATCTGTTATATATTCTCAGAGAAAATTGCATTCACACCACTTAAGCGATAAAGCGATTTTTAACTTTTTCGGTGGGAAATGGTGTGTTTTTTTTACGATTCCTATATCTGTTTGTGTTTGATAAATGGTATAAACAAATATGTGTATATATACATTCGTTTATGTGAATTATTTCTTGGCACAATCTTTCATAATTTTTATATTGACCAAATATGAATTAATATTTATTTGTCAGTGAACTCTTATTTCTTGCTTCATTGTGCAAACGTTACACATAAAGTTATAATTTCAAGCTATTATGTTGTAATCAGTATACTTTGATATTTAAACTTTACCACGTTTTGTGTATTTTGTGAAACGCACATTATACAATCACTAATATTTTAGTAGATTTAAAATCAAACTAATAATACCTTGTAGTATGTATGTAATTGGTACTTAGTTATAATAAATGTTGGATTTAATTGAAATTGCTGGGGAATTTATTATTTAAATTTTAGTCGATTGTAAATCGTTTCACCTTTAAATTACAGTAATCTGTTAGTTTTTATTGGGACCGGTTTTGCCCTGCAAATAGTCGGCATGGAGGCGAATAAGGGAAGAAGAAAAACAACTAATCAAACAAATTTTATACATGCATATAGTAAGGAGTATTATAAGTATGTGTATAGTCAATCTGAAATTTGTAAAACACCGTTTATTGGCGCTAAGACATGTGATTCGTGTTACACATTTTTTGTAAAACTCACAATTTTATCCTATGACATTTAATGTATATAAAGATTATTAATTATGCGCTTAACAATTTAGAATTTCTTAAATAAAAAATGTATTTACAATTACCCCACTTGACCCTATGGCCTAGTAACGTATTTTAGCTTCGATGCGAAGCTGAGAAGGTATTGGTTTTACTAAGATGTGTTTTTTTTTTTTTTTTTTTTTTTTTTTTACCACTTT